ACCAATAAACTTTTCATATTCAATCAGAAAGCAACCAACACACATCAATAATATTAAAAGAATCAGACAAACTCACAAAGGAATGCTTGAGTTTCATACCAGAACCACAAGCAACAAAAGAAATCCACATGCCAAAATACAACAAAAAATTAATAATATGAAAAACCAAAATGATATGTTCCCACCAATTACCACCAGTCTTATAGAAGAATTCGACAATGAGAACCCTTCATGGAGAATCCAGGACACAGAATTTTAAAGAACAACCATAAATATGATCAAAGAATTCAATGAATTTAAAGAACACACAAACAACTCAAGAAACTAAAAGAAGATAGGGATAAACTTCTGATTGAATTCACAAAAGAGAGAAATATTGAAGAAAATTCAGGTTGAAATGAAGAAGGAAATGAAAAACTCAATAAGCCAATTTGAAACAACAGGAGAAAGCCTCACCGATTGAATGAATGAAATGGGAAACAGAGTATCAAGACTGAAAGACAAAGTTGAAGAACTGAACATCTGAAGTGGAGAATATGAAAAATTAAAAAAATAAAACAGGAATTGAATTTGCAGGACCTGTAGGGCACCATGAAAAGTCAACTCCAAAGAGATCAAAGATCTCAATGTGTGACCTGAAATTCTGAAGCTATTAGAAGAAAACATGGGCGGTACCCTGCAAGACATAGGAATAGGAAGAGACTTTCTAAACCAGACATCAGTTGCTTAGAAATTAAGGTCAGCAATCAACAATTGGGATGTTATTAAACTAAAACGTTTCTGCACAGCAATGGAAATTAAGTGAAGAGAAAAACCACAGAGTGGGAGAAAATCTTCACCAGTGATGCATCTGACTAAGATTTAATATCCAGAATACATGAAGAACTCGAAAAACAAAGAATCAGGAAAACAAATGACCCAATTAAAAGATGAGCTATGGATCTGAACAGAGAGTTCTCAAAAAAAATAATAAAGATGGCTAAGAAACATCTTAAAAAACTGTTTAACATCCTTGGAAATTAGGGAAATGGAAGGCAAAATCACTTTAAGATTTCATCTTACCCCAGTCAGACTGGCTAAGATCAAGAGAACAAATGATACCAAGTGCTGGAGAGGAAGTGGGGAAAGAGGAATGTTCATTCACTGATAGTGGGATTGCAAATTTGTGCAACCACTATGGAAAGCAGTGTGGAGAACTACTAAAAAACTAAAAATGAACCTACCATATGATCCAGTTATGTCACCCCTTTGTATATACACAAAGGACTCATCCTACTGCAGAGATACTTGTATATTCCCATTTGCACTCTTCACAATAGCTGAGAATTGAAAACAACCTAAGTGTCCCTCAACTGATGAATGGATAATGAAAATTTGGTACATTTACAAAATAGTAAAGAAAGATGAAATTATGAAATTTGCTGGTAAATGACTGGAACTAGAAACTGTTATACTAGTTGAAGCAACACAGACTCAGCAAAACAAGCCATGTATGCTTTCCCTCATTGTGGATCTTAGAATCAAATCCTTATATGTACATATATAGCCTGATGTAACTGCAGGATCCAGGAAAATGGAAAGGAACCAGGGAGATAAAGGGAATGAAGGAGCCTGAGAAGAGCAGTAGGAGACAGGTGTTACCAAGGGGGAAATGGGCAAAACAAGGATATTTAAATGGAAGGGGAAGAGGGAGGGTTAGATAAGGAACCATGGGGTAAAGGGGAAAAAGAAGCTCCAGAGAAGGAGGACCATAGAAGACAGGTGTTATCAAGGATGAAATGGATAAAATGTGGATATTTTAACTGGGGAGTGTAGAGAGAGGGTTAGACAGACAGAGGGGGAGAGAGACAGAGAGACAGAGAGACAGAGACAGAGAGACACACAGAGAGAGGAGATTAAATAATGCTTAGCTGATGTGAAAATCCAGAGGGAAATATTTTAGTTCAAAATACTATTGAAAAAAAGTACATATATAGTATCTCTACATGTGTCCATGTGTATAGCTAAATGCTATATACCAAAAAACTGCCAGACAGGAGAAACCTCCTTTAGAGTTGTTGGCCAGAGTAGTTCAAGAGACTCCCAAAATTACACAAGCAATTGCCACAGCTCTCGATTAGCTCCTAGAACTTGAAGGTAAGACCCTTTGCTGAAGACAGGGCATACTTTGGACACAGAAGTGGAAAAAAGGAGATTTAACTGATCTGGAAGGCTTCTCCCTGAAAGCTAGCTCTCATAGTTTTGGAGGACAGTATGAAAGCTGCTAAGGGAAATATCAGTTGATGGTCCAACCCCAGCTTTAATAATGATCGGCATAGCAAACTACATTGGGGCAGTAGTGACACTTTTATCTTGTAGATAATCAATAGCTACCTAATTGAACATAAAGCCCAGTAAATGGGATGGGACCAGGTGTGGTCCTGTAAACATAGCAAATACACATGACTATAGAAATCATACATCTTAGAAAAAACCCTAAGGCTGTCACGTCCCTAGACAAATTTAATTTCTTACTATATGCTAAATACAAATCTTCATATTTACATACAAGTATGGTATTATGTGGGAAACAGGCTTGAGCCTAGGGTGAAAGTCTTAATGACAGACATACAGCAGGCCCAAGGCAAGGGCCTGACCGCTAGAGCCACAAGGAATGCCTTGTGACATTTGCTCCCATTGGCAGATCATGAGACTGATGCCTAGAGCTCACCACTCCCTGATCACCACCCTTGAGATTCTAAATTGCAACACTCAGATATTGCAACAGCCTGGGTCACATGGTGCCCAGGAATCCAGGCCCCTACAGGAAACCAGAACCTAAGTATCCTGAAACCTATTATGCTAATAAGGTGTCTGACTTGCCATGTCATGATAGGACACAGCCTTACCAAAGATCTGAGTTGTAACTTCTTGATTGAACCCCTCCCCCAATTCCTATATAAGCTTGTGCCCTTCTACAATAAAGTAGATCTGTGTCACCGAACCTGGTCTCCTGTGTCTGAATGTGGCTCGGCTGACACAGTCTCCTCACCAGCCCTGGGGTCCGGGATGGCAGAAGTAGCTATGTTGGAGACAGTGCAGGCGAGCAGAAGAGCGGCTTCCCTGCTGAGCAAGGGGAAGAGCAGCCACGGTTTGAGGCCACAGTGAGGAGAGCAGGGAGGCGCCTGTGCGATTGGAGGTGGTGCCCAGGAGGCGGCGCCCATGGGAGTGGAGGATCAGCACCCGGAGACACCACCGAGAGAGCAGAAGACCACCGCAGGTGGCCACAGGTGGTGCCCAGGGCAAATGGAGAGCAGCAGCAGTATTCAATGCTCATTGAAGAAGCCTCTTTTGTAACAGAAGGCGATTATTACAGAGTTCTACAACTTGTCACATACATAAAGTGTGCGTGAAATGCCCAACCCAAAGTGACACATCTACAATGGAACTTCTACACCTAAGATTCATGGAACATAGTGGAACAAGGGGTAGAGAGAAAACTAATGCATCTCTCAACCCTCATCAATGAAGCGCCTTCATGCAACAGAGGGAAATGAACACAAAAGGCCACAAATGGCTAAAGCAAAGAGAATAAGAGTCTGCAGAGTGTGGGTCCTTGGACAGGACTCCTGTATTAAACTTCCCCCACCCAGGCTCAGGAACCATTGTGGAAGAGGGGGTGGAAAGATTGCAAGAGCCAGGGGAAGAGGTGCATTCTCTAGGGAAACAATGTCTTACAGGCTTCTAGAAACTTACTCACATGAATCTATAATGATGGTGTCAGCATGCATAAGACCCACGTCAACTCAAGCAGACAAAACCCAGCATAGAACTGGAGAAGTGGAAAGTAGGCCCCAATCTTGGCCAAAGAACTATTGGGCAGCTGATTACTACTGTGTGAGAGAGAGCTGATCTTCTTTAAGAGAGTGACTCTAGATAGGCTGACTAGACCCCAGCAGATGAACTTGCACTGAAGGACATTTGGGTATACTAACTTGACTTAACAGATCTTAACATAAATGACAGAATGCTTGAAATATGGTGGTGTGGGGCAATGGGAGGGTGCAGGTGGAGGAGAGGATATAAAGATGATTAAGATGTTTTGTATGGAATACACAGAAATTCAATAAAAATTTTGAAAAACGGCACACAACAAATAATCTCTCCAAAAGGCATTTTATGACAGCTGCCTTCAAAGTCAGCGTTCCTTTTCTTTGCTCATTTGTGAATTCCTTTCAGTTGAAGGCCGCAAGAATCATAAATATGCCAAGAATAAAATCCAAGAGTATGTATACTTTTTCCTAGTGTTTTCCATAGCATTTGTATTCTAAATCTTATAATAATTGCTATTTTTAATAGTAATTATTTAATCATGGATGTGTAGTATTCTAAAAAGGAAAGTTACCGCATTCAGAAACATAGTAAATGCTACAGAAACAAATCTGGGATAAATGACTAGCTACCATTCTTGGCTTCTGTGTTCCTTATTTTGTCATTCTTGTTTTCAGAATTGCTGGATTACCTGTAACCACTACTATATCTCATTTTTCTGGCTGTCTGCCTTAAATTATATATGTATTTTATAAGCATGGAATCGGATACTTGGTAGGTGACTACAATTTGCACACTATTCTGTTTACATAACCACCATTAAAATCCTTTTGTGAACTCAACAATAAATCAATTTAGAGAATTTTATAATATAAATTACTATGACTTCCAAAACAAACGTATCATCATTAAAATACTTTTATTGTGATTACATTTGAAACAGTATGTTGTTATAGTTTTTTAAAAGCCATTTCATTACACAAGTGGACAATTTCAAGGAGAAAATCATGTGATGTCTAGAATTGTCTTAATGTTATAACAGAAGGTGTGATTACAATTGATCACTGTTGATCTTTGTGATGGTTACTCAGGGCTTACTATTCTATCACCTAATTTTCACATTTTGATTGTTTTTATAACAAAAACTTAAGTTCCTATAGTAACATTGAAATCCATTTCTTCTCCTTTCTTTAAATAGGCAAATACTGTCTACCATGTTTGGGCACAAGTTTTGTTTCCAAGTGAATACCAAATATAGTTCTTAGTGTTTCTTCTATTTCTTCTTCTTTCAAAGTCTTAATCTCTACCAGATCTACATTATCCTTATAATTGAACTTCCTACAGATGAGGGTAGTGCCCATTAGGCCATGAACCCCTTCCGGGGTTTGCAAGGAACAAAGTGATGTGTTTACAAACAGAGACACTGGTGACGTTTGAATGTAGGTGTTTATATACTCAAAATGCTTAATTGTTCGGGGTTTAAGAGTAAAGGAATACATTTTTCGGTATTTATTCTTCTCCAGGAGATCAGAATTAATGAATTCTTGGTTTGGAATGTACTGCTCTCTTCTGATTTGGTCCAAGTACCAGGTTCCATTCTCTTCCGTCAAGCGGAAGATGCCAGGCATCTGAGGCTGATCCTTCCCACAAGTTAATTCCAGAGGCTCCCACATCTGCAAAGAGTGTAAAAATGCAGCATCCACAATATACTTTTTGTCCCTGATGGTCACCTGCAGTAGAAGGTGAATTGGAGTGTTGGTATACCTGTGGATTGGAGGGATATAAATACATCCTCCCAACATTGTTGTTTCAAAACCCATTGTAGTCAGAACCCAGTAGAGAAGCTGATTGATCTGGAGACACCACCCACCCCTTTTTTTTTTCACAATTTGATCAAAAATGGCCACTAAGTCCAGATCCATGTATCCCCCACAATGCAAGTTAAAGTTTTCAAAAGGAATTGCTTGGATCTGGTGCTGAAAAATATCAGTTAAAGTTTCCAAGTCCAGTTCACTCCTGGAATTCTTATAACCAATTCTTTCAAAGTATGCTTCAATGTCCATGGTTCCCTAAAACAAGGAAAACAAAACAATAAAATATTACTATATTTGAACTTGGAGCTCCTTATCAAGACTAGTTGTAGTCACAATTTATTTATGACAAAACACATAAATACAAATTTGGCTTTAAATGTCTGTAATAATTTCAAACTGCTTTATGGGGCTGGAGAGATGGCTCAGTGGTTGAGAGCACTGGCTACTCTTGCAGAGGACCCAGGTTCAAATCCCAGCACCTACGTGGCTGCTGACAACTGACTATAACTCCAATCACAGGGGAATTTGACGACTTCTTCTGACCTCTGTGGACATTGCATGACACAGGTGCACTTACATACATGCAGGCAATACATTCACACACATAAAATGAAAAATAAAAACTGCTTTTTGAATCATATATTTCATATTTCATGCCTATTTCACTTAACAGTGTTGGCAAATGTAGAAGGAAAGTGTAGTTATTTCTTCTATATTTCAAGTTTCTGAAATTGGAAATATAGATTCAAAAAATGAAGCAATTGACAAGATGAAGGTTTAGATGTGGTTCTTTTTCAGTCATTAATAAAAAATAATTTCCTTTTTATGTCCATTAACTAGGCATCTAAACTATTCCTGAAAGAATCGGGAGTATTGTCCATCAGAGCACCAGGCATTTATGTTCCCTGACTGTCCTAAAATAGCTTTAACTATCAGCTTGACAAAGCCTGGAGTCATTTGAGAAAAGAACCCTCAATTTAGGAATTTCCTAGATCTTATCAGCCTATGGGTGTGTCTCTGGGCAATTGTTTTAACTGCTAATTGATGTAGGAGAGCCCAGCCAACTGAAGGCAGGACAATTCCCTGAGCATGTATGCTTCTGCTATAGAAGCCGGATAAACATGAGCCTGAACAAGCCACCAAGCAGTGTTCCTCCATGGTTTCTGCTTCAAGTTCCTTCAGGTTTTTCCCTGACTTCCCTCAGTAATGGACTGTAACTGTAACCTGTAAACTGAAATAAACCCGCACCTCCCCTAAGTTACTTTTGATCCGAGTTTTGTTTTGTTTTTATCACAGCAGTATGGATTAAACTTTAACACTGAATTGCTCATTTTCCCTTTTAGCTGAATTTTACCTTACACAAAGTACCCCTTTCAAAGTTGGGATATGCATTTCCACATTGAGTGACTGATGCATTCAACAAACAATTTGCTGAAAATTTATCAAGTATTTACTACTGGTGTAGTGATACCTTAATCTCTCAAACCATACATTTTAATGGACATAAGAATGACAGAGACTGGGGAACTGAATGAATGAAGAAAGCATATCTATGAGATTATAAGTACACTGAAGAAAACTAAAGCCAAGATGGTAACAAGCATTTAGAGAGAGTTTCAATATCAAAGAGACAGTCAAAGAAAGCCTCACTAGTACTAAAGATGCTGGTGATAAGCCCTGTGGATACACATGGGCACTAAAGAGGCAAAAGGTTCTATGCTGGAAGCTGCTTGGAGTGTTCAAGGAACATCTAGAAAACCAGGACAATTGCAGCAGAATGAGAGAAATGAACCGTGATTAGAACACACAGGAAACAGTGTCCCTTTGGCCAAGCTGCATTTTGGATTTATTAAATCCAAAAGGAAAATCTATATGAGAGAGGGATAAAAGGAGAGTGTAATTTGATGATGCTAAACAAAATCAAAGCCATCTTTCTGGCTACTCTATGAAGAACAGGTCATACATACTGAGTTTATATGGATGGATACATGAGGCAGGAATGTACATTTCCAAACAATTGCAATCTGGGAACAGTGACTGCCCATGGCTGGCACATGGCCCAGGTAGATCAGTGAGACTTTATTGAGGGGCATACATAGTACCATAGGATATTAACTCAAATCTATTGGTGTGATCCTGGAATGACAACAAAAAACCCACTAATAATGGAAACTAAAGAAAGATAAGGAAAGACCTGAATGAATTTCAACACTTTCTTAAGTGTTGGTAACAACATAACCCCTCTATAAAACAACAACAATGAAAGAAAACAAAAAAAGCTCCCATTTAAAAAACATATTTATTGAATTTTTGTGTATTTAATTTGTGTATTTGATATACAACATCTTAGTCCTCTTTATAACCCCTTCCTGTCAGCACTCTCCCATGTCTCCCACCCACGGAATTCATACATTCTGTCATTTATGTTAAGGCCTATTGAGTCAAGTTAGTGTCCCCTGATGTCCCTTAGTGCAAGTTCATCCACTGGGGTTTAATCGGCCTATCTAGAGTCACTCCCTTAAAGATCAACTCTTCTTCAATCAGTAGTAATCAACTGCCCAATAGTTCTTTAGCTAAGATTGGGGCCTGCTGACCATTTACCTGTGCTGGTGTTTTTTTTTTTTTTTGCTCGAGTTTGCATGGGTCTTGTGCATGCTGTAAGTTCATGTGAGAAAGGTCCCAGGAGCCTGTAAGACTCTATTTCCATATAGTCATGTACCTCTTTTCCCTGGTTCTTACAATCTCTTTGCCCCCTCTTCCACAATGGTCCCTGAGCCCTGTGTTTATTGCCCTCTGTTGCATGAGGGAGCTTCATTGATGAGTTTAGAGATTCATTAATATTCTCTCTACCCCTTGTTTACTATGTTCCATGAATCTTAGGTATAGAGGTTGCATTGTAGATGTGGCACTTAGAATTTGGCATTTCACAGACACTTAATCTCTGTGTGTGACCAGTTGTGGAACTCTGTAATAGTCTCCTTCTGTTACAAGAGAGGCTTCTGTGTTAGAAAAGGTGAGAATCAAGGTACTGAAAGTACTTGGAAGGTCATCTTTAGGGAAAGAGCTGAAGGGAAACATTACTAGCACTCCATAGTGACTTGTAGCATCTCTGTGTAGGGATAGACACTTCCCTTTACCTTGATTATAGACCTAGGAGAAGACTCAAAGGAGGCAGGGTGAACACATGTCAGGAGTCCATTGAGATCTCTCAGAAAGCATACCTGTTTTAGTTAATGTAGGTTGATGGTCAGCTTTAGTTCAGGAATCTTATAATTCCTCTTCTTCCTGTTGCAAATGATGGGAAAGATAGTTAAATAAAACATGACTTTTCTGGAAAACAAAAGGATAGTTCTGAGGACCATAAATGATTGAGAATCCCTTAATAGCATGGTGCGATAGTTGACACAGTGGTCAGGTGATCAGTGGTTGCACCAGGAAGTATGTAGAAGGGACAGTGATGAGGGGTGTTGTCTGTATCTTTCATCTACAACATTGGTTTTCAGTGGTTTTGTTCAGCTAAGGAACCCCCTCTGTTTCCCCCATAAATGGGATTTTGGGCAGGAACCCAACATAGAAGAACGGAAGGCACATTGATCCACATGGAGATTATCTGTGCTGTGCTATTATACTTGAAAGCATAACAAGCAAACTCAACAAGCCAGGTTCGGCCAATGGTCCTGAATAAGCCCACTAAAAGATCCAAATTAAGATGGAAAAGCAGAAACAGATTTAGTCAATATGGACACCCTGGGAAGAAAGACAGAAACACAGCTACCTTCACCCAAAGTCCTTTTACATCGTTTTAATAAGGCAAGGTATATGCACAACTAGGCAGTCCAGCCGAGACATGTTCCCCCACCACTGTTATCTTAGCTCCAGTCTTTCCAGCAAGGCAAGTCTGTCCTTCAGGCTCTCTGACAAACTGGAACTCTTTCTCTCCTATACAACTTCCTCCCGTGGCTGCAAGAGAATCCTCTGCCTGTCCCAGGATTTTAATGTTTTCTTCTCCTGGTAGGAGATTCCTGAGGAAGTTGTAATTTCTTAGAGTCCGTTGTTTAAATAGCTAAGGGATGTATAGAAATGGCTTTTAAATACATCTTCATTTCTGTCAGGTAGGTAGGTTATACTGTTGTTGCACTTGCTGTGTGTAAAGACACAAGACACAGAGGCTGTCTTTTTCTCCAGGAGCAGTTTATTCATGCTAACACCTGGCTCTGTGAATTCATATCCAAAAGACAGAGCCTTGAACAAAGAAAGACCCAGCCTGCTATACCCTCTGTTCATTTCCCTTTACAGTTCAGTTTCTTTGTCTCCCACATATGGTAACACGTGTATCCTGACTGGGTGCTCTGTGAGACCAGGTCATGACAGGCAGAACTGTGTACTTGTACTTAGGCACAGACCACAACACATTCCTTTTTCTGTGTTCTGGGGGTGGCTGTTCCTGCCACACTATTGTTAAGGCTTAGATAGCCCCACCCCCTCACCAGCAGGGTCTCAAGGACTTCTCAAGCTCCTGAGAAAAGGGAACTGAGCTGATAAGCACTTTGGTCATTGAAGTCAAGAGAAGCAGACTTTTCTGCACTGTTAGGCCAACACAGCAGGCTTCCCCTTTGATCTCTAAAGAGAACAGGTTTTAACAGTCCCGCTCTCCCACCCTCCCCCCGACCACCCAACTTAAAAAAAATACATCTTCCTGCCTTCTGCAGGAAGCAGAGGCCTACCCCTTCAAAAGACCCCAGCTCATGACCCGGGGCAGACATTTTCCCTGCTCGGAAGGGAATCTGTCCCATGTGTTCCTTTGCTAATAAACTCTGCTTTTTCCTAATCAACTCTATTCATCATAGGGCTACTTTTTACCTATCAACTATCATAAAAGGCTACAACAGCACTAGTCCAATTGTGAGAGACTTAGCTGGACTCCTCCATGCCTACTTTAGATTCTGTGCTATTTCAGAATAGAATTATAGAGACCGTAGTATCTTGACTCTTTCTTTTCTACTCCTTTGCTCTCTTTTTTCTGTTTGCTTTGTTCTCTTTCGCACTGAATGGCACTGCACCAATATGCATTCACATCACACTTTAGAATCTGAACAAGCCAGCCCTTTCACTATCTTCAGATATTCATGGAAAAGGACTTTCTGGGCTGATCATACCTAAAGATCATTAACCAATAGTCCATAGTGTTCAGGAGACCTGCAATTCAGAAATGGCTCTCAGTGAAGACTTCCAGTGGGCAGGGAGCAAGT